TCGGCGCGGGTGAAGGTGGGAAGGATTCGAGCAGGCATCTTGATGGGCAGGGCCGGGCGGCGGATGGCTCGGAGATATCGTAAGCGGGCCTGTCGGGAGGGATGATTAGAAAGTCGTTGTTCAAAAAAAAAGGAGTGTAGCCCGCCGGTGTGTGATGCGAGATCCAGGGAGATGACGGCGCGAGAAGGGCGAAACAGGACGATCGAGAGAGGTCGGCTGCAGAGGAGGAAGAAAAACAGATTTGCCCCTCGGTATTTAGGGGAATCGCAGATGAGCTACGGATCAGAATCAGATTTAGCAGGGCCGCGCCACGGGACGCGGTGCAAATTAATGTGGACCCGAGAGTGGTGTTACTATGGAACGCGCGGGAGCCATGACAGCCGATACACTGTGCATGTGGTGCGATCTGGTTCCCTCCAGGGGTACCTCTAGCAGGCAACGGCCTCCGCTGGGCCTTCTTTGCACTGGAAAACCGGCTGTCGATCGGGATTCGACCTTGCCTGGCAGTCATGCCATGCCCGGCTGTGGTGTGGCATGAACCCGGGGCCAAAACAAGACGATGTACCATGGAGCACCCACTCCATTCTTCTCATTTCATACGGTATTAGTCGATGCGCCCAGGAGAGGAAAAGCTAAAAGGCTGTCTGTGACACGTAGGCACAGTGTGCCCATCCGTCTGGATGAGAAATCAAGCGATCATGCGCACCCCAGCGGTTCGGACTCTCGGGCAATGTAGATCTGCATACACGCTGAATTCACAGACGGCGCCCGGACGAGACGGGATTTCAGCATCGTGGTCTGATTTGTTCTTCACAGCAACAGGGACAGTGCAATTACCGACGGAGCCGGTGCTGCCCAACTGTACTCATTGGCCAGTGGTGAGACCTCGACTCGGTGGATGTTGGGGATCGGCGCCAGCATCCAAGTCGCCGAGTGCATTGGGTGCCTACGGGGTCGGATCCAGTGCAACGTCAGCGGCCTCCGGTACTGAGGTGCGCTAGCTGGTTCTGGACGTG